CTTGTGAAGCGGACGTCGGAGAACGGGCCCAAACTATATTGGTCTTTATTCGCCTGTGCAAACAGGGGCTATTCACATCAAGATTGCCTCAAGAGCCCGAAAGCTCAGGAGAATAAACAAATTGAACCGGTGCTCGAAAACCCTTATTTCTCATCCATGTTAAATTAGTGTATTTTCCGTTTCCAAATTATGCAAAAACGGAAATTATCATGTACAAAAAGTATAGTTCTACATGCTTTAGGTTTTATGAGACTTATTTTTACCTTCATCTTGGCGAAATGAACATAATGTCATTAGGTTTATCTTCACTGTTTATCAACTTACCTGTAGTAGAAACTATACAGTACCTAGGTAAATTAATATGCGTAACAAACTACCAGATAAGAATGACAGTGGAGACGCTCAAGGAACTACTGAAGTATTTTCACAAAGCGACAGTTTCTTTGCAATGACCACTTATCGAACAAATAGACGGAGCGGCCATGGGCTCACCACTTTGACCATTCCTCGCCACTGGTTTCACGGACAAGGTCGAGGAAATTAATCTCGAAAGCGCTGTCAATGACTTTGAGTTCTGTAATCAGCATGTGGAGGATATGTTTTGCCTGCCAAATAAGACCACTGATATTGATGGCCCAGCTCATAAATTTAACGAGGCCCATATAGTATAAAATTTTACCGCGAAAACGGAGGCGAGCAATGAAATCGCGTTCCTAGGTGTGCTCTTACACAGGCAAGTTAATGGTTCAATACAAAGCCGAATATTCAGAAAAAAAGTTGCACGGTTCAATACATTACCTATCATCGTTTTGTTTCCTTAAAGTCCAAGGAACCTTATTCCAGGGATTGGCGTCCAGAATACGACGCGTCTGCTCTACTGAAATAATTGAACTAGAACCACAGCACCTGCAGAACACACGCCGCATAACAATTAGTGCTGATGTTGGAGCGCGCACCACAGATGGCAACACAAATACTGATAAAAGTAACTACACTGTCATCTCGTGAACTGCTCTAGGTGACTGAACCTTTTCTGGTGAACCAAGGGGGAAGCAGTAAAAAAATAACCATGAAAGCGGAGGCAGAATTCGGTGAACCCCACTTTATAAAAATACAACGTGTGATAAGAAATAGCTTCTATAAAAATTAAGAGGTTACATGATAGGACTGTTGTGATACAGTGAGATAGGACCGTGGTTATTGATGCGAACTTATGAGGATTCGAAGCAAAGGCTACTGTTTACCGTCGTAACTCCGTCTGACTGGCTACAGGACCAAACATCGGGGAAATGAGACCAGAGGAGCTTTTCGTGGACAGCAGGGTCGAAACGATGAGAGGATAGTAGAGGTCACGAGATCATCACCGAAATGCCGAAGACGCAACCTTGCGGACGACAGAGTCTACGATCAAGCTGGCTGAAACGAAAGAACGCGCAAGAAGGGTCACCAGTGTCTGTGAAGACAATCCTCAGGGGTGCAAAACGAAGAAAGTTTGTCGACATTTGGCAATGATGGTTGGAAATTGATGGGTTATGAAAAACCGCTGCAAATAACGACTCTGAAGAGTGTGATATAAACATATACGAAAGCAATTTAATATGAAGGGAACCACTTCACATACCAGGGGGGCCCTTTCCAAGGTCGAAAAGTTGTATGCTTGGGAAGGAAACGGATACCAAGGCCTTTAGATCTTACTAAGTTAAATGTTTACAAAATTTGCTTTTAAAACTGATAATCTAGACTGAAATCTAATTTCGAGTGGAATATTATTCTTGAGGAAGCCATATTTGGAGGCCCATTTGGTGAGCTGTGGCGTTAAAGGGTGATGAAAGTATCATGGAGGAATTGCAGGTGGCATAAGGTCAATCTTCCGGAGTAAGAGCTTTAATACGTGGGAGGTGGGGGCTAGAGTTAACGCGAAACAGGAAGCAGAGGCTAGCTTCAAGTCTTCTTACTCAAAGAAATGTTATGTTCACTAGCTTACATCTCTCCGTATATGAAATAAAAGGATCGAGAAAGAGCAAATGTTTTTTGAAGTAAAAGTTTCTTAACACTTTCAACCTTACCGCGGTCAGAAACATTCATCAGACCAAAGAGGGGACAGCAGTATTCTAGGATATGGAAAACACAAATGCGGTAAATTTTTAATTTTAGTTCCAGAAGGAAGAAATTATGTGATATAAAACCACGTATGTGTGCAGCCTTTGCAGAAATTCGATCCATATGAGGCAATAATGCTAGTTTACTTGTGTAAATTAGACCTAAGTCCTTTATAGTAGATCGTTCTAAACGTGAAGTTTTTTAAAAGACTAGGGTCCAGGAAGCTGGGCGGGACCATAAACTCGTGAAATTACACCAGGATAGTGAAAGCTCCATCTGCTAACTTGAGCTCCAACGTGAGAGTGTAAGCAGGTTTGCGTTAATTTTATCAACGCAAATATTGGCAGTATCCTGAGAAAATGCGTAAATACACATAAGATCGTATGCGTAAATGATATTGTGTGAATTTTCATCACTGTTGAAATTTAATTTATGCGTAAAAATGTAGAGTAGAGGACCCAGGGTCGTGCCCGATAAAAAGTCACTCGTGATCAACTGAGCCACCGAGTAGCTGTTACCTACAAAGTCCTGGCTGCGGCCAGTCAAGTAGGAACCAATGCATTCAAGGAGAGGAGATCAGATGCCGAGGGTTTTCAGCTTCACCAAATATTTCTGTGTGGTTCCTTGTCGAGGACTTTGTTGAGGTCAAAGTAGATCACAACCGCTGATTGCTGCTCATTCGTAATTAAGAATGGACCTGAAGAGATTAAGAAAAACTAAGTCACTCGTTTTGCATAATCTTCCAGGTAGAAAACTACGCTGCAAGTCGCTTGAACGCTTGATTTCTAGGCAAAATCGAGAATATGATTGAAAATTATTTTTTTAGATGCCGAAAATTCCTGCTTTTTTAGTGAGCTTACTAAAGTATTAGAGACGAACCAATTTTTTGTAAGTAGCAGCACAATCCTACGTCTGGAGGAATTACGCTTCATTTGTTTAGCATAAAAACAATTTATCCGAACTGATGGAAATGCAAGAGGTTTCTGAGCCTATTCAAGGAAATTGTGTACTTCCTAAAATTGAAAAGCAGCAGATGTACTCGCTGGGAAGGGAATTTTATTTGCCCAGCCTTTCGAAATACGTCACGGATTTCTCAACATGGGCAATAGCTTAAATATAAAAACAAACTTTTATAACTATAATTTAGAATCTGTGCGGCATCTGATGACGAGTTTGCTTTGACTGCCATCCATATTATTGATAAGGACGGTAGTACACTAGAAAAGCTGACGCTTTTAGCGGGACTCCCGATAATCATCTGAAGGGCATGTAAAGAATTCCAATTTCTCTTTATTTCGAAGATGGGCCAAACTTTCGTCTAGAAACAATGGTTTCGTTTGTAAAGTGCCTTTGTTCGCTTCCTTCGAGGACATTCCTCGCTGTTTCCAACTCATTACAGTATCCGAAAAACGAATGTGCCCAAGTGTTTCAGTTCAATCGAAGCGGAACGCCAAATTCATTCGTGACCTTTCGCATTTTAAGAACATTCAAAAAAGTAGTCTCCCTAATTTTCAACTAAGACGTACCTGTGGTGATCTCCGTTGATGATACGAAGGTACTTCACGTCCGGGTTTTTTAAACTCGAAATGTTAATAGAATCCTGATAATATTCACAAGCCTACATTGAAGACACGTGAGAGGCAGTTTGCTTTCACTGAAGTACAAACAAATGCTGTATTATGTTAGCCAACAACGCTGTTACAGCCTTTATGTCCTCATAACTTGAAAACCACTCGATTCAACATATGAACTGAAATAGCAGACAGCTACGTAAAAGTTTTACACGATTACAAACATTGTCCAATGAGTGCATATTCTTTCAATCTACATTCGTTCTCCTTAAAAAGGCAATCGAAGAGGGGAATTTGATTTCTTGTGATATCTGGAGGTATGAGGATTATGTTATGTGTTATCGGAAGTCGATTTTTAACCCTCTCTAATTCTATTTCAAGGTATCTTTCGCTTTCTCCTTTTTAGATTTTGTTTCCTTTTACTGCTGTCCCAGTATCCCCACTGCCGTTGTAAGTTTTCGTTGACGCGGAATGTTGCTTTGAAATTTCCTCTTCAAACTTCCATTATAAACGATTACCGGCGCACAGATGTTCAGCTCGGGTGCTCCTACTTATAGAGACCCTAACAGAAAAGCAGCAGCCTAAACACGGGTCATCAGAATTTCACCTATATCTTAAATTATCGTTTACATTTATCACCCTTGATTATACGTAATCTAAACTTTCCATGACATCCAGCCTTCTTTTTGATCCGTCTGTACTTTTTCAGACCTAAATCATAGTTTTTAAAATCCTTTTTATTACACCACAATCCTTTATGTCGTGAATATACAAACATGACGTTTGTTTAAACCAGTCCCAGTCTGACCACATGAAACCATTTGAAAAATGAAGGCCTTAGCGCGACTGGTTAGGGATGATTCGTTGATCCCTGAAGTAGACGTAAAAAAGATAACACATTGCCCTGGATGGGCAAAAGCTCCAAGGTTCGTCAGTCCAATGTGATAGTGAATATTGTGAAGGTTTTCAGCATGTGGGATTCATCCGAAAGCCATGCCCCCAATGTGGGTTGAAACTCTCAAAGGGGCAAGTGAAATATTTTTTTCAATGAAGCTTTTAAAAAAATATAACATATGCTGAAGAATATTTATGGTGATGTTAGATTAATTACTTGTAAGATTTAAGATAGTGGGACTGCCTCGGTTGATTGTAATACGGAAACTATATAGGTATATATACCTATATAGGTCCTGAGAAAAACTGTTTTGATTGAAAATATAACAAGCTTGTCATAGGATAAATTAAAACTTTTAGTATCCTATAATATACTATATAGTATATTATAGGATACTAAAGGTTTTAATTTATCCTATGACAAGCTTGTTATTTTTTTAATCAAAACACGAATGCGAGAGAATACTCCTATTCCAGGAATGTCTATTCGTAAAGGAGACATATGGTCGATCATTGGAACAAACTTTATTTTTTCCTGAGCTTTCGAGCCTCCCCTGTATTTTTAAGAAATAATCGTTATTCTTGTTAAGTTAAATAGAATCATTTACTGCAATAGACATCATGATGTCCACTAGTGGATTCGGTTTAGGTAATAACGAAAAAACTAAACGAAATATTGATTTGATATTTCAAATATCCCCCAGTTATGCGTTGATTTATACGCGAAAATGTTTGCCGAGAATAGTGCTTCCTGATATACATAAAATAAGACCCGCCATTTCACTTAAACGTTGTTTTGAAATAAAATTGATATGCGGTTTTTTTTTCTTTGAATTCAAAGATTATTCTATCAAATCCTTAAATCCGGATAATTCGCAAATTTAACTGATGATAAGTCAGCAAATACGATAATGCGTAGATTTCATAGAATGTAAATTTTTAGACGTAAATTATAGACGTGAAATAGTAACGTAAGCATATCATATCGCCAATATGCATCGTAAACACACAAGACAGTTAACGACGAAATTCAAACTCAATACTGAATCAATTTATAATGGAGGAAAATCAAAAAATCGCTACTACTGTACAATTCAAAATTATTGACTTACGTAGCTAAAAAACGGATAAGATAAGCGATTTTTTCTTACAAATCTGTTCGGCTTCTACACTCTCTGGTAACTTTACTAATAGATAAACAAATGGCAATAAACATTCGTGATTTCTTGTCAATTAGCGAATAAATAGTCTTGATTAACACAATCTTGAGCAGAACAATCTAGCACACAATCAAAATAAGGTGAACAAATCTCGATATATTTTTGTCTTATAGTGTGGGGTTACAGTAGCTGCTGGTTTCAGTTGCTGCTCACGCATTAGTTTATATGTCGAATGTGCCCATTTACGACAGCCGGCTAAATCAATCATGATCGCAGCCATAACACGTATAAGTACCCATTTTGACTGGGAGGCTCCTTAGAGGTAGGGAAGGGTTTGTATCTATCATTACGCAATCGTTATTCTTAGAAATAACGTATTTAATAAAAAAGTTCTTTCCTAGTGGTCTGCTAGAGGATATTAGATACCCTATATTATATTCGACATGATTCTATAAAACATTTTATGTGTTGTAATCTTAAGAGATATTGATATGCTCTTTTGGTAAAGAAGACATTTGTCTTTACCGATAGAAATGCCTGGAACGCGAACTTTCCCTTTTATGTGCTCTTTTTACTTTTGTGCTAAACTTTTATTTTACCTGAACTATTTATACCAATATCGCAATTAACTAATGCTTATTGGCCACATATTATTATTAATAGTGCATAAATTTCAAATAGCATAAACATGTAAGAACTTTGGCTAAGATTGACAGTTCGCATTTACTTTCAGCTATGTCAACGTCTTTTCTGACCTTCTTCTCCTCTAGTTTTAACGAGTGATTAAGCGTTAACTTTAAAGGTGTGCTTTAACGCCTGCTGCTCTCTTACCGTATTACGATTTGAGGCTGGCGATTCTTTTCAGGAATGCGAATAAATCAGCAGTGCGTACTTAATTTTGTATCAGACGGAAGTAAAGTATATATCAGCCCACTAGCGAGATATAGCCTTGTTTGTTTCAGCATGTAAGTGAGAATGAAATTGAGCTTGAATGAAGTCAGATTAAAATAGGTGAATTCTGAGACTCAAGGTAACTTTTTGTGCCAAGAGAAAAATTTCATACCCGCTGAGAGCAGTATCATGCGCTAGATTATATATTAATGAAAATAAAAAGCAATAATCGCACACAAGCCAAATAGCATGGTTTCTTTCTGCAGCGCTGCTGTATACCCTATTTTAAATAACGCAATCCATTTTATGTGCGACTTTGGTTTTTTAATACTGTGATAAATTTGACTATATTTGTTTAAATTTTAGTAATAAACTGTTACAAGGCTTCAGTGACCGGAGCAAATGACTAGATACTTTGCGTGCCCATTACTTCATGTCATGGGGGCACCATCAGGCAAACTATAGCTTCATATGACTTAAGTAGCGAGCTCTAATTATCTCTTATTGACAGTGGCCATAGAAAGCTTCGGAGGATATTTACCCTCTTACTGTGAATATATTAAGGAATGGTTACATTCTGTGAGATATATAGTTGGCGCCAAGCCAGCGGCTAGTATTTCTGAGGATACCCGTGAATAGCTGAAATCTTTGAATATATGAAACCCCTCTTAAAACGACTTTAACTGCCTATTTTATGTTAAAATACCACCGAACTATCATTCTTATGTATTTTAATATTATTTCAAAGTTATCGTAAAAAACATATGGTTTGCAGCTACTTGTTAACCCACCTGAACTTATTAATCTCACCAAGGTGGAGTCTAATAAATTTACTCCTTTATCCAGGAACGAAGATTCAACATTACGATTAAACAAATAATTTTTTTATCATGAAAATAAATTTAGTAACAAAAGAGTCCTTTAAAGATGCTCCACGAAAACGGATCCCGAATACTGAACTGCAACTAGGCGGGCGTCAACTGTACTAGCAAATTACTTTGTTCTGCCAAGCCAGAACTGCTACGTTGCATTGGTAGATTATTGGCGCTGATGCATCAAGGCGATAGTATCGTTTATCGATAGTCATAAATCGGCACTATTTTCGAATTTTGTTCATGTATCACTTCCAGCTTAGACGTGCTCTCTTGCTTTAGGGAACATAGATCAATAATAATTGACATGCAGACGGGCACTGTTAAACCATCCCCCGTCTGATTCCCTGTTCCCCTCTCTCCTATAAACAGGAGGGCACTGGTGAATTCAAGTACAATCCTCAGTTCACTTGCTGTCGGGATAAGGGCTCCAAACATCGGTCAAAGATGCCCTACATCCAATTCAGCATAAGACAAGGTAGGCACAAACAGGAGCAGAATGCAACTGCACCAATTGTGCCTGTACCGCAAACCGAGACCGCCGCAGGCGCTGGCAGTTGGTCTTCGAAGGACTCCCAGCCACTGGGGACCGATACAAGCCAGAAAAAGGAGCTGCGGTGCCGATCGGGCCCGGCGATAGCCTTTGGATCACAGGCTCCACGCTTCAAGCCTGAGGGCAAGGGAGTCAGCGTAAGTGAGTGTTTTACTGTCGTCTCAAATTTATGCAGTGCGATCAGGCAGTCATGCAGCACAGTGAAATTTGCAAATGATTGATGATCATTCGCAAACCGGCATGAACGCATGTACAAAAAATTTGAAATAATAATGAATAACTTTAGGCAAATTTGTGGCTTAAAAGAAATATAAAAGTACTTATTGTTTGTCCAGAAAAATCAACTTTCCTAAAAAATACTCAAGTTCCACAGACGTAAAAAGTAGCTATAACTTAGACCAATAAAAGTAAATCTGATGGGCAGGCGAAATTATAACCATACCATATGCTTTATATCAAAAGAAACTTTCTTTAGTCAAATTTATTTATACCTATTGCAGGTATTGGATTCCTAGAAGTTTCAGATCGTTCTTTGAATTCCCGCGAATTTTCGACCATTTTCAGTGTGGTCAAGCTTTCATCCATAAATGGGGACTCCGTTCGACGTTTATATATTTTAAAAAAACTTTTAAAATAAGATGTTTCGTGGAAGCATTTACAGAAAACGTGAATTTTTGAATTTTAGTTATTCTTAAGATAATCATATGGGCCATATCTCTAAATATGCAATACACAAAAACCCATAATCGAGCAAAAAAACTCCACAACAGAAATATAATAATATTATTATGCCTAAGATCTTTAAACTTGGTTTCACCTGATTTTCATCAACTTGAGAATAGATTTTCCGGTTCTAAAAGGGGTATATTTTAAACTCGCATTGTCTATATTAATGTTCTTCCATGGCACAATGCATAAAAATAAAGCGTTTGGTTCTGTCGTACTTAATAGCATAGGAAAGTTGTTTGATATCAGGCAATCTTCGATTTCGCCAAAATTCTGCCTGCTACCCTTAAATATACTGAATTGAGCAGGTAGTTTGCTTTCTTATTTGCTCAAGTTAACGTGTCGAAATGTGTGCTTAACTATCAGGTCGAATTGCGATCATTACTTTGTATGAATTACCTCGCATACTCTTTATATGAATTCTAGTGGAAGCTATTTTAAACTCATTCATCTAAATTCTGCCAGAGTTGCTACGCGAGCCAGGTTGCACACACGGAGGCTATGGTTGAACAGTACGCCTAGCCGGCCGCCTGCAGACTAGGCACCCAAAAACTTAAAAGACTACCTGTATAAAAAGCATTATTATACAACCTGTGGAACAAAAAATTAAGATTTTTTTGAATTTATGCTCTTGCACTTCGATTAATGAGCGCCAAGTCGACTTGCCAACTGGCTAAGTTTTCGCCGGTCAGAAATCTTACATAGGATACGGGAATTGACTTTCGCCCGCTTGAAATATATTTTCAGAACGGCGTGACTTCCACACAAACAGGTAAAGCCTAATTTTTGCCAGTTATGGATATTTTTTCCTGTCTATCCGGAAGAAAGGACGTTTCGGTTTGCTCCTTTATATTTGCACGGGCATAGGTGTAGCCGTTCGAAGAGACGGTACTAGATCATTATTTACGTGCAGCTTGTATTGGCCCTTACCTTAAACCTTTCGAAACATAACTTGAAACGAAAACTTTTAAGCGCTTTGTAAAAATGAAAGAATCATGGGAGTTCATTAGAGTTTTCAGGAATCATGTTGGCTGCTTAATTCGGTCATATTTACTTATGACACAGTACTTATATCTGCAGGTTTGTTCCGCTGTTGGGTTTAACCCTTTTTACTACGAGATTCGTCAATACCGTACATCACCATGCTTTTTTTTCAGCTTCCATATTTTGGTGCAACTTTTGGCTGCCATGCACGCTCACTATTATTTAGAGGCCATCTGTGATAAACTAAGCAATTAAAGTAGATATTCATTCTTGTCAAAAATACACCATAGGCAAACTACTTAAGTATCAAGTAAATATTGAATCTAAAGTGTTGTCTAAACGTTCATGCCTAACGCTGACGGTATTACATCAGCGGCAAAACTGAAGTACTTGAATATTTTCAAACTGTCGGCCACGTAAATCACTGCTCATGGTTTGCCACATAACCCACAACTCCCTGACATTATCCTGTAGATATCTCTGATACTTGTAATTAATTCTGACATGCCGGATCACCCTTCAAGCTAGTTAAATTGTGTGTGCATTCTGCTATTTTAACCTAATTGCTGTGATCTAACCTACCCCTTGTTTATATTCCATCAACTTACAGGGTGGTAATCCTCCCCCAGGCTCCTACGACCCTTACAAGCCGCGAGAGGAACGGCCAAAACTCTTCCAGCCCTTCACTCTGGCTCCTATTCTGAACAGATCGGTTCCCATAATGGTAGGCTTTTTCCCGTATGTCTTTTTTGATGATAGGTGAAACACACTAGTAAGGCTGTCGTTATTTTGATGCCGAGACTCGGCTGTTGAGCCTCGGCTGTTTGTTTGCCGTAGGGAAGCAGCAAGTGAAGGCACAGCGTAGGGGGTGGGAGGAGAGGGACCAAATATGCGAGACATTTGTGTTGTGGTTATAGCGTTTAAGCAATGGGTGTACAAGGAGTACTACAATCATCAAATCGAATGCTGGGTTGTGGAAAAAGTGACAGAAGGCACCAAACTGAAAGCTTTATTGTGCATTTCTGTCTCAGGCAGCAGTGGCTGCTGACGATGTCAGGACTAGTCTTGACTGCGTCCAGCCAGGCTTGGGAGAGAGAGAGAGTGAGCCACCGGTGGCAGCTGCCTTTATGTGATTGTGGAGCAAGTTCAAGTGTGGTGTCCAATGGGTTTATTGCATTGCTCGAGGGGGTGTCGTTTAAAGTGGTCCCTGCTGCGTCGGCTGAG